GAGAGAGAGAGAGAGAGAGAGAGAGAGAGAGAGAGAGAGAGAGGTGAGTCTATTGGAAATCGTCGTGATAAGTGGTTGAAAATTTTCACCTATATATTTTTCTCGTTTGAATGGTAATTATGTGAAATCGGAAAAGAGATATTTGCGTACGGGAGAGAAATTCGTTAAAGAGAACTAACACGTTTGGAAAAGTAGTCATAGAGTCATTTTATTCTGCGGAGGATGCCAAAGACTCTGCAACAAAGTTGCTGAACAATCAAAAAGAGAGAGAAAAATACAGAGATACAGAAAGCATATCGGACGACTTGTTGGTCGAGGGAGACGGATATACACTCATGAGAATCTTCGATCCTATCGTTCGCAAAACGAGGCGGCCGGCAGGCGTGAATCAGTGAGCGGTGCGGCTCGCTCGTGCACCTCGCGTTCGCACGGCAGTGCGCCGCGCGGCGAGAGGGACAGAGAGGTGGAGTAGGAGCGCGAGAAAGAAAGAGAGAGAGAGAGAGAGAGAGAGAGAGAGCGCGTGAGCGAACGAGCGCGCGCGGGAAGGTGGGAGGCAGGAGAAAGAGGGCGCCAGCACGGACATCGCGCGCCGTGGGATTGCACTCGAGCGGAGTCGGGCGAAGTGTCGTGGACGAATTACCGAGCGAACGGCCGTCGTCTCCTCGTGATTGTGTCAGTGAGCCCGTGAACGCGCGCGCGACTAACCTAGTCCTGTCCGCCGTGTCTCGCATTGCCTCGTGTCGTGTGGTGACGTATCATATCGTTATATACGCACATATATTTGTGCGTGCGTCTCAGCGGTCCGTTTTTTCGGCCGGTTCTTTCTACGCGCGTCTCGCCGGCGCGATCGATCGAGCAAGCGTCGTTACGCACGAGAGGATTCAACGACGATCACCGGTATAGTCGTTGTGCGCTCGGTTGGTTGGACTCGCTATACCTCTCCCTCTCTCTCTCTCTCTCTTACGGAGAGTAATCGGCGCCCGCTGTCGTGAGGCGAGCAGAACCCAAGAAGGAAGCAGTCTTCTCGTCTCCCGTGAGCTGTCACGTGACGCGTGCTCGCGCTAACGTTAGTTGGTCGTGACAACTTGCGCGTGGAAAGTCGCGGAGCGATTTTGTGGAAGATCGCCACGCCGAGATCTCGGGAGACACGCGCGTAATCGTGAACCAGCGCTGCGACGAGAGGAGAACGCCGGTGCCAGTGAAGAGAAGAGAGGAGGAGGAGGAGGAGGAGCGGGCGCGGAAGTGATCGTCGCAAGACTCCGGCAGCGGTACCACCGCCGTTCTATGCGGCAAGATGATGGATTGTCAATCGCTCGTCAAGCAGACTTACTGGGAGGATAACTCGATGCAGGTGAAATACGAGAGGTAAGTGTGTATACATATGTGTGTGTGCGCGCACGTGAACGATGTATGACTGAGCTTTAAAAGGCGAAAGTTGATTACGCTTCGGTCTTGATTGAGCGAGTTCTGTCCGAACGATTTGTTGCTTCTTTCCAAGAATTGTAGTTGTGTGCTTATAAAACAGAGAGAGAGAGAGGGGGAGAGGAGGAGGGAGAAAGAGAGAGAAAGATATGTGGGGGCGGGGAAGGGGAACTTACTCGATGAGAAAGTTCGTTCAGCGCGATAGTGGTGTAATCGGCCGTAATCGTTAGCTCACGTATCATCTCAATGACACAAGCAAAAAGTTAATTTTCCGAGAAATCGAGGGGAAAGTTGGAGGTCGTCCTTGTCATCAATACTCCCTCTCTGCTCTTCTCTGTTCGAAAAATATAGCACTGAGCACGGGTGCGCAGCGAAATTGCAAAAAAAAAAATATATATATATATATATAGCGCACGGATCGAATAAATATTAAAACTATGAGAAAGAGAATGTAAATATTTTTTGGGAAACATTACATGTGCGCGGCGCGTCCCGACGATTCGCGCTCGATTTGCAGCCGATCGCGCGTCGGTGCGCGCGATATTCGCGAGGATGAATAAGAGGAAAGAGAGAGCACAGGGATGTACGCAAATTTTTCCAGGAACGCACCGCGTGTGTGTTCCCCGCGTAAACGGCGGAGTCACGGTGCGTCGAAACGTGTTCGCTGTGGCGATCGCTGGCGTCATTCGTCACGTGTATAGAAATCAGT